TTTTCGCGTCTTTCTGCTTACTCAAGACACACATGGTGAACCGTGTGAAGGAGGTGCTCACGGACGAGAGCCGATGGCAATTCGGCTTTCGCCCCGGACGCTGCGTGGAGGACGCCTGGAGGCATGTTCTGAGCAGTGTCGAGGCCAGCTCGGCCCGATATGTGCTCGGAGTCTTCATCGACTTCAAAGGAGCATTCGACCATGTCGAATGGGATGCAGCGTTACGCCGACTATCGGATCTAGGATGCAGGGAAATTGGGATCTGGCGCAGCTTCTTTTCGGACCGAAAAGCTAGCATCGTCAGCAGCTTTGGCGAAGCTAATGTGAATGTTTCACGTGGCTGCCCGCAGGGGTCCATCAGTGGTCCATTCATATGGAACATCTTTATGGATGTGCTCCTGCGCCGCCTTGAAGCGCATTGCACTTTCAGTGCATACGCTGACGATTTGCTGCTGCTCGTCGAAGGGAATTCCAGATCCCAACTGGAGCTCACAGGCGCCCAGCTAATGGAGATAGTTGGAGGATGGGGCATAGAGGTAGGCGTCTCAGTCTCGGCAACGAAGACTGTGACGATGCTCCTTAAGGGAAAGCTGTCAGCTGGCAGAAATCCCGCCGTTAGATTTGCAGGAGCAAATCTACGGTATGTGACGCAATATCGTTACCTTGGCATCACGGCTGGCGAGCGGTTGAGTTTCCTCCCGCATATCGCATCTTTACGCGATCGGCTGGCCGGAGTCGTCGGAGCCTTGACCCGTGTGCTACGCGTTGACTGGGGACTCAGTCCGCGCGCACGGCGAAGGATATATGCCGGACTCATGGTGCCTTGTGCATTATTTGGTGCTTCGGTGTGGTACACGGTGGTGATGAGACTAGTCGGCGCCAGGAGGTCGCTCAAGTCCTGCCATCGCATCATCCTGATTGGATGTTTGCCTACGTGTCGAACGGTATCTACTGATGCCCTTGAAGTGCTGGCTGGAGCCCCGCCGCTGGACCTTGTTGCGACGCGCAACGCTATGCAGTTCAAGCTTAAGAGGAGCTACCCGATGGTAGAGGGCGATTGGCTCTACGATCAAGATGTTTTGACCCTTGATCGTACTATGAGGAGAGCCTTGCTGGACGAACGCTTGTTGCGTGAATGGCAGATCCGGTGGGATGACAGCGAACACGGCCGTGTTACGCATAGGTTCATCCCGGATGTTAGCTTCGTATACAGCCGCCCCGACTTCAGTTTCACGATGCCGACCAGTTTCCTCATAACTGGTCACGGCTCGCTGAATGCTTTTCTGCATGCGCGCGGTCTTAGCGAGACTGCTGGATGCCTATGTGGCCATCCCCTGGAGGACTGGCTACACGTATTGTGTGCCTGCCCCCTCTATGCGGATGTGCGGGATCTGCAAGGACTTAGGATCCAGCAGTCGGCATCCGGTGACTGGACCATGGAGAGGACCTTAATGGAGGCGGAGAGCATGCAACTGCTTGAAGACTATGCTCGCACAGTCTTCAGCAGGCGACGCATGCTGATCGATGGCGTGGGACCTGGCAGGCCAGTGCCGGACTGACGTTAGTCAAAACTGGTAGTAGAATTATCTGCGAGGGTCGGACCAAATTTGGGAGACGAAGTCCTTCGGGATCAGTCGAAAGGCCGACCAGAGCCTCAATCTGGCAGACTCTCTTCTCGGAGAGAGTCGAAGGGCTGACCAGAGCCTTAATCTGGAAGACAAATCCAACTTGGAGGCGTCGAAGGGCTGACCAGAGCCTCAATCTGGAAGACAAATCCAATTCTGGAGGCGTCGAAGGGCGGACCAGAGCCTTAATCTGGAGGTTATCTCTTCGGAGGTGCCGCCGGTGTTTACCCAGTTCCAGGTTGTCGGAAACCAAAATGGGCAGTAGTCGCGGACTGCATTCAGCCGATCAAAGCTGCAAATTGTAACAGATTTGAAATTTGAACCACGGGATGGGCTAGTGTCCGAGGCTAGCCCAGTGAGGTTGGCCCCCTTTAGTGGGAGTATCGTGGTGGCTGTGGTGTTACCCGCTGTGTCTCCACTATAGTTGGAGCACAGCTGCTGGGTCCAATGTGTATTTGGACCACAGCCGGAAGCTGTACCCGTAGTCAGCAGAGGTTATGATAGGCCTCGCCTCGACCCAAGAGGGAATTGTGTCCGACAACACAATTCGAGTTGGTAGCTAAAAGCGTTCTTTTAGGGGCGTTGGTGGACGCATTGTTTTCACCCGCTGTACTATGTGTCACATATGTGGCACATGCGAGTACCGTGGTTGTAAACCCCCATCGGGGTACACGTCACGTTATATACCCAAACTCAAGCATAATTTCAAACCTTAAATCTAGTGCGTCTATTGCTGAGTGTGTAAGGCTCAGCATTGGTCTATTACATATTCTTATCTTATCGCTGAGTTTGTAAGGCTCCGCGTGGGTCTATTAGCTATTCTTATCCTATCGCTGAGGCTGTAAGGCTCAGCGTTCGTCTCTTACATATTATTGTCGCTAAGGGTCAGAGTCATATTTATTCTAGTCTGACAGTTCACACTTGCCACATATATTGTCTATTTTTTGTATGCTAGCTGTTAAGTGCGTAGAGGGTATGTTCCCATACTTATCATATTTCTATGTTCATGCATGTGCATGAACAATAACTTTTCTTGTGGATGTACTTTCTTCATGAAACTTTTAGATAATGATTATAACATGAATATGCATGTATTTGACAAAGCACAAGTCTTTAGTATTTGAAATACGTCTTTTACAAATGTGAAGGTGAGGGGGTGAATTAGAGGTGGGGGGTAAATTTCGACAAAAACCGAAATTGTATAAAATGCATATAGGTATACGTAAAAAATTTAGAGACTCTAGCTTTAAAGATGTAGGAGGTATCAATTTATAACTGTTTTTCGATTAGGTTTTTATTGATAAAAAAAAAAACCGGGATGAGTTTTCGATTTTTGGTGATAAACTCGATATCCGCGCTGTATATACGGACATTTAAAATACATTTAAAGTCTCTAGCTCCTATATCTGCTGAAATCGACGCGTTCAAAAATACGGACAGAAGGACGGACGGAGGGACAGACACACGGACAGGGCCAAATCGACTCAGCTCGTTGCCCTGATCAAGAATATATATACTATGTTGGGTCTACCCTAAACCTATTGAAAATGGGAAATCAGGGTATAATGGTTTTGTTTAAATTTAAGTAACAGGCAGAAGGAGGCGTGACAGACCTCATAACGTAATTTCGAGCGTTGCCCACAAATGTAAATCTTTACATATACATGTTCTTATTTATCAATATGTATGAACAATATGCAAAGAATCATCACTATTCAAGTTAACTTTTTTAACACTAAACACATTTAGTAAGCGCGCATTTAAAGAAAAATGTAAATGGTTATACATAGGCTAAATATATGTGGACAATCTAAAGATACAATTTGTTAAAAGTCAAATTGCCTGACTGTTATCACACTGCAGATTTTAGCTTGGTCTCGATTTTCAATTTCAGCTTAAGTGAAGTCAATAATTTTTTACTAATTTAATATATTGATTCTAGTAAATTAACTTTATTGATCTTAGAGATACAATTATATTACAAAAATCGTGTTTCTATAAACATACAAATTTATTCGTGGACTTTTGCTATTGTGTATGTGAATTTTAGTAAATAACTCTAATTTCACGTGTCCAAATTAATTTATATATTTTGTTAAATAGCTCGACTTCGTTCATGGCGCTAAACAAAATAGTTGAATAATTTCGTAGCTTTGGTGTTTACAACTAGGCCACTTTCCTACCTAATGAAAACGTGCTGTAGTTGTGCTTATCCCAAAGCCCGGTAAGCCAGAACAACAATTGAGTTCCTATAGGCCAATTAGCCTGTTGCCGATACTCTCTAAGCTACTTGAAAGAGTAGTTTTACGTAGAGTGCTCCCTATACTGGCTGAAAAGGAACTCATACCGGATCATCAATTTGGATTCAGGGTGAAACATGTAACTCCTGAGCAGTGCCATAGAGTGGTTGACCGTATCCTAGAGGTGTTGGAAAGGAAAAGGTACTGTTCTGCCGCGTTTCTGGATGTGAAACAAGCCTTTTACAGAGTCTGTCACCGAGGCCTGCTTTTTAAATTAAAAAACCAATTGCCTGCGCCGTACTAACTCTTCCTGAAGAGCTATCTCACAGACCGTAGATTCTTTGTTAGAGTTGGCCAAGAGGAGTCTAACATTATTCAGGTTTGCGCAGGAGTACCTCAGGGCAGCGTGCTTGGACCGGTGCTATACACACTATACACCTCAGATATTCCAGTGGTTCGGAGTCCCTCACTGATGATCGCGACCTATGTTGACGATACCGCTTTCTTGGCCACATCGAAGTCACCTGTGACTGCATCTAGGATCTTGCAACATCAACTGGACTTACTGTGCCCTTGGCTGAAAAGATGGTGCATAACAATTAACACCAGCAAATCAGCACACACAACATTCACTATGAGAAGAGGTGCATGCCCACAAGTCTCGCTAGGTGGAGAACTCATACCTACTAGTAAATGCGTGAAATATTTGGGTCTTACGCTGGATAGAAGGCTTACATGGCGCCAGCATATCAAAAATAAACGCCAGCAGCTGAACCACAGACTTGGACGGCTGTACTGGCTTATAGGCAATAAGTCCAAGCTCTCCCTTAAAAACAAAATTCTAATATACAAGGTTATGCTGAAACCAATATGGACATATTGTCTACAAATGTGGGGAACGGCCAGCAATTCCAACGTGCGAATAATACAAAGATTCCAGAACAGAGCACTAAGAATAATCACCAAGGCTCCATTCTACATGAGGAACAGGTACCTGCATCGCGACCTCAACATCCAGACAATCCATCAAGCCATTCGTGAAACCTCAGGAAAATACACAACAAGGTTGGATGACCACGCCAATCCACTCGCCATTAACCTCCTCGACAACAGTCAACACTTGCGTCGCTTGAGGAGACTACATCCACTTGATTTACCTTTTAGAACAGATCATGCTATTTAACCAATTCAACCCTCCCTACACCCCCACCACATAACTAATTAAGTAGCGCCCTGAATGTGTACTATCCCATTTATTGAATGTTCAACAAAGAACAGATTGTAAATAAAGATATATACAAAAAAATAAAATTAAATTAAACAAGTAAGAACGTTGCAGTCGGGCGTTACCGACTGCGGAATACTCATTCACATCCCATCAACAATTTAGTAGTTAAGTTTCGCTCTAATACTATAGAATATACAGGTTTTTCCGATTTGCCACGCCCCTACTAGGCGTAGGCTCCTCATTTTTACCCAGTTCTAAGAACGAGAAACCGGTAACCTAAATGCAAATTTTGAATTCTTACGCTCAAAAAATGTGAAAATTACAGGGTATTTTTCGATATGCCACGCCCCTAAAGAGGCGTAAAAATTATTTTTGGAGAATCGATAGAGGAGGCTACCAGTAACTCAACTATCCAAATTTAAAGCTTCTAGCTATTATACTTTAGGAGATATAAACTTTTGCGGTTTGCCACGCCCCCTGGAGATACAGTTTTATCCGATTTGCCACGCCCCCAATAGGCGGAGATATATCATAGCTATATATCATAGATATATCATAGCTCGTGATCCTTAGTGGTCGATGCGGATCTATATTCCAAATTTCAGCTTTCTAGCTCTTTAACTAACATGATTTCTGGTATATCGGAAAATGCACTTTCCGATTTGCCACGCCCCTAGTGGGCGGATCGGGAAAATTTTAACACTTTATAAATCGGAGATATACACGAGTATGTGTTCCAAATTTCAAGTCTCTAGCTTCAATAGCGCCGAAATAGATTGCGTTCATACGGACAGACGGACAGACGGACGGACGGACAGACGGACGGACAGCAAGACGGACATTGCACAAAACCAATATACTGATTCACTTTCGTGAATGAGTATAAAAAGAAAAATTTCGTGGCAAGCGAGAAAATCGTTGGTATCGTTTCTGGGAATGCCGTCTGCTTAGCGCGTAGTGTAACAGCCGAACGTAGTGTATGTGTAACGGCATATGTATATACATATTCATATGTATGTACATATATACAATGGTACGTTGTGTTAGTGTAATTTCGTTTAGCTGCTGCTTTAGAGACGAAGCTTTTGCGCTGATCGTGAAGGGTACGTGCTTGTGTGCATCTGGACCACAAACTGCAAGTTGTTTAATTAATTATTCATAAATATGTGTTTTTCAAGACTGAAAAAAATATTTGAATTTATTTGTGCATATATCTATAGATACCTATGTATGTATATTTTCATAAAAAAATTTTAATCTAATATAATAAATAATAAAATACATATATTAATTAATATATGCGTTTTAATACTAACTGAATATTTATTATATATAGGAGATTTATAAATTTAACTTATATTTATATTCATTTTATAAATATCATCAAAATATTATAATGCCTAGAACTAAATAATTTCAGCGTCTAATATGTCTCAAAGACAACAAAATAGGAATATGTTAAATAGGTCAAATGTTGAAAATTCTGAGCAAAATCGATTGAATGATTTGGAATTTATAAGAGAGCATAGAGAAAATGAAGAGCTTAGTCAGACTGAAAGACGTAGAAATAGACAGTGAAACCAAGTTCGTAGAAACAAAACCTTAAAAAGACTTTCAGATCAAATACCTTTCTTCGAGCTACTTTACGCACTACCTCTCAGAGTGGACAGGTAGAGCGAGCCTAAGACACTTCGTGTCAGTCGAGACGCTGGAAAAATCCTGTTTATGAGGCGAACGAACAGTGACAAAACTCTGAGCATCATGCGACAAGACGAACCAATTCTCCCGATAGGCAACAGGGTCTGCATTTATTGCAAAGGTTTGTGGTTCCCCCACCAAGTAGACATAATGTCACGAGAGGCTATTGAAAGCAGGTGTAGTGTAGAAGCTGCTTCAGATATCTTATATCTAGGTTTCCATCCGAAAATGACAAATATAACTTCTGCGAAAAATGCCGTCAAAATGCCATTAAGGGAGCTATTGTCAATGTACCTATTCCTGTGGCTAATGTTGCAGCGTCCCTTCCAAGGGCATTTAGCGAAGCTGAGGTAATTCAGACTCATTTGAAGCACAGGATAGAATATAGTCATGATTTCATGACTGATGCAAATTTAAAAAAATGTCCTTGTAGAAAATATTGCGATGCAAAGAATAGTTATATCCGCTGGGGAAGATCAGCGACCATAAGATATGATGGAAGTTTGCGATTCAGAGGAGCTGGCCTTCCCAACTAGCTAACTATAAAATTAAAGTTTAAGGAGAATTTACAACCATAGTTAAAATAGAGCTTACATTACTACAAGAAGTTAGAAATGATTGATATTAGGAACATACCTCTATTGCTTACGTAAGCACAGCACCACTCACGTTATCACTGCCCAAGCGGTCTAAATAAAGTGCAAATAGATCAATTAGTTCGCCCTGATGGTGGCTATAGAATTTTAAAAGGAATTAGGACTTCCCTGCTCACTGGGAAGCAGACAAAAAGAAGATGATGGCTATGACTATTTGGTCTTCCAAACTTTTTTTATCACATTTTCGGAAACTCGATGGACGAAGGTATGAGTAATTCTTTCTAGTAATGTAGACAAAGCAAAAATTTCCGAAGAAACAGCAATATCTTAAGTTTTCAGGAAGCCTGTCTTATTAGAGCCGATCCTGTAACTTGTGCTAGATATTTTAGATATTTTATTCTAGGAGTACCAAATACACAAATACCACAATCACGGCCACTCATGTAGGCGAGAAAATAGGGCACAACAAATTTTTAGATTCGGTATTCCATACCCTCATATGCACCAAACTAAAATTCTGTTTCCCTTTGAAGAGGATGCTCGAAATTTAAATACAAAAATTCAGGGTCCCTGCATAATTTCAATAGTTTTTTGTCCAACGATCAACTTAACGTTAGTTATGAGAAGCCGAAGATATATTTAAAGAGTTCATTCGCTGAAATTAAGCTTAACGCTTACAATTAACATCTACTCCAACTGCAGTAAACCAACACACATATACAGTCATATTAGGTCCCTATGCTTGCTGCAGTTACGTTGTTAATTATATTAAGAGTCCCAGAGAGGAAGTTCAAAATTAGAAAGATTAATAGGGGTAACGTAACAATCAAACAAAAGTTACAACATATAAGCCACAAATGCATTTCGGGCACTGAAACATTTGCCCAGGAAGCCGTTTACTGCTGTTTAGGTATGCAATAATCCGAAAGCAATAACTCTGGAGTATATATTAATACTTCATTGCCAGAGCATCGAGTTATAATGCTTAAGTCTAGACTACAGTTAGAAAATTTACTCGATGGCTCTATAGATATATTTTTATTAGGGCTCTTAGAGCCATATGTTCAGCGCCCAGACGCTTTAGATAGTTTATGTCTGGCTGTTTTAGCTCCGAGTAGTTTTAGGTATGGGAGATTTAATATTAATACTGAGAGCAATCAATACTTTAGAGAATTAGTTACGTTGTATCTAAAATAGACAGACGAAGAGACAGAACTGGTTAAGAGAGACTGCGAATCGTTTTGTAGCCATAATCAGGAGTTAGTCGAATCAAACCGTAGGAAATATAATAGCTTAAATGATAGTGAGCTTCAAAATGTTCCAAACGAAGCAGTGCATGAAGAGAATGAGGGCAGCATAAAAATAGAAAGGTAACAGATGATAGCTTTACAGTGTTAGGTTTACCAGAAATAGATCCAAGATTGAATGTCTGAAACATCAATGGAAAGGATAAGAATCAGGACTTGGAAAATACCAATGCTCCAACTTTGTTTTCGTCCGATAGGATCAAAGACATTGTCAGATCTTTAAATTTAAAACAGAAGACTTACTAATCATCTCCAGTTTTCAAGCATTATCCTCTCATTATATCTCTCATTGGGAGATTTTAATTTGTGTTTGAGCACATTTGAAACGGCTAGGACTTTGTATGAAGAGTTAGTTAGCAGAAGCTTTAGGTTATTGGATTTGAAAACGCCTACAAGCAATTGTGATTTGCTCATTGATTTTGAGTTTTCAAATCTATCTAATGAATATATTAGAGCTAGGAATTTTGAAGCAGTACATAGTTACCACAATGGTATTTCAGTAAGTATTCGGGATAGGGACATTTATTATAAGATTAGTTTAAATATTTTGAAATATGTAAATTAGTTTTTTATTTATTGTAATTAATATTATTTATTGAATGAATATAATTTTTTTTTTTTTTTGATATATAGAAGTATAAATGTATTTTTTAATTTTTGGTTCAGGAGCAGCACTCGTGGCTAGATTTATCTTACTTCTTTATTTCTGGATTGCAAACCATTGAAATTGAAAAACAGTGAAATAATGCAACATGTAAATCTGTTGAGACCTTCCAAGAGCAAGGACAATCTCAATCTTTTGTAATATTGGAGAAATTTGAGAGAAGTTGTGAGGCGGCTCGCCGATCACCGCCTCACAAGATTAGTCGATAAGTAGAAATAGGTTTTTTAAGTTGAATTAATGAACACGAAATATGAAGTATAAGTTGGATTTATATGAAGTTAGTCAATAAGCGAAAATAGATTTGGAATTTGTGTTGAATTCATTAAATGTTGAATTGGATTTATAGATTTTTTAAGTTTAGTTCGTTAAGGTTAAGGCTAAGATTTAAGTGTAGTAATTAGAGTTTAAGTTAATCAATTAAGCAGCACTAGTGTTTGTTTAAACTTGTATTTGAAAGGGCCGCCCAAAGCGCTGATGATTTATCGGCGATCGGCGGCACAACCCTGCGTGGAGAGTTTTGAGCGGAGAGTTGCGTCGCCGACGCCGAGCGCTTTGGGCGAGCGAGAGAAAAGGCAAGAGTTAGTCGGCGTTGAGCAGCAAAGGCCGTCGGACGCCGAAGAGTGGTGAAATGAAATTGCGCGAGCAGTTTCTTAA